CGATATCATATTGGCAGGCGATTTCAACAGCAACCTATTGTCAGAAAGCCATCTCGTGGATAACTTTAAATCCCTAGGTTTGTTTTCCGTAAACGAAACGATTCCCACGCACTATAGCAGCCACCGTTATAGATTACTTGACTTATTTCTTATTAATGACCCTTGCAAAATCATACATTATGACCAGGTTTCTGTACCAGCCTTCTCCAGACATGATTTAATATTTTTAACATACAGCTTGACCTTTAACAGAAAAATCAATTCTTTTACGTATAGAGATTACAAAAATATAAACTATAATGAATTCAAAACGGAATTTTTGTGCTGTGACTGGTAATATATTTACCATCTTCGTCATGTAGATTGTCAACAATGTCCAGTATTTGTTCAACAAGTTTGTGCCCCTAAGGACCAAGGGGATTAGGCCAATGCAAAAAAAACGGTTAGGTATTGGAAAATGTAAGCAACAGACAGAGTCTGACGTGGACGTCGAATTAATAAACAAAAAGTTTTTGAAAATGAATGTGTCTGAAGCAACATGCAGTCCGTACCTGAATACTACACACCTCTGTGATAGTAGTTTAAGCTTTATATGTATAAACCAAAGTGATGTCCTAGCTAGTATTTTGCATGTCAAGTCCGATGCTGTAGGTCACGATAATATGAGTCCAAAATTTGTAAGGCTTTTCTCCCTTAATGTTGCCTCTTGTTACATATATTTTTAAGACGGCTATTACAACGTTTTCATTTCCGACAATATGGAAGAACGCCAAAATTTTCGCAATTCCTAAGCTAAACAATGACTATAGACCTATTTTAACATTACCTTTCCTATCAAAAGTCTTTGAAAACATTGTCCTCACAGATTCAACTATACTTAGCTAATAATTCTCTACTTAATGAAAAACAATCTGGATTCCGTAAGACAAGGAGTTGTATTACTGCAATCACTAATATTTTTGAGGATATAAGACAAAAACTGGACTGTAACTGCTTAACGTTTTTGACGCTCCTTGACCACAGAAAGGCTTTTGATTCTGTGAATTCTCTGTACAGACGGACAGACGGTCAGACGGACAGACGGACATGGCTAGATCGACTCGGCTAGTGATTCTGATCAAGAATATATATACTTAATGGGGTCGGAAACGCTTCCTTCTGCCTGTTACATACTTTCCGACGAATCTAGTATACCCTTTTACTCTACGAGTAACGGGTATAAAAACAGGTTAAAGGGCAATCCCTCGCACAAATAAAAATAGTTACAAAGAAGGAAGGACGACCCCAGCAAGATCATCAATCAAGAGAATGACGCCTCTAGAACCTCTAGAAAATAATACAATGTTAAATGTATGAGATTTAATAAAACAAATCGAAAATTTTGAATTGAATCCATTGTGGCGATCATAATTTCTGCCATCTGGCATCGCTGAAAACTTCTCAGAATATATTAGTATCTATAAACCTTCTCTGGTCACACTCCCTTAACAACAACGCAAAAAAGCGCACTAAGAAAAGAGATCTCAATTTCAACAACCACTCAGTTGTAACAAAGTACAAAATATATATTTTAATCTAAGCATCCCAGTTGTATGTTTCACTTAAGTGCAGGACTTACTTTGGTTTACCATTAAAAGAGGAAATCGAGAACTTAAGATCGCATCTATTTCACAAAATAAAAAAGGTTGAAGATTTTCAATCTTATGAGATCATCAAATCGGTTAGAGAATATAAAGGTGAGGAAGACAAATATGTTGGAGAGAATCAGCTGAAAGACCTATGGGGCAACATGCCAGAGGCAGTGAATGGTTTTATTCTGCCTTGTCAATATTAAGAAATAAAATCACGGGAATGGCTAATTATGCCTAAAGACATAATGGTACGGTGTTAAATTCCGATGCCATACTGCCCTGACTTGACTTTGTCTTTAGTGACAAACGTCCCATTCATATTATCGAACAAGAATTGAGTGTATTGAGTCAGGGAAAATTATCCAAAATTGACTATTTTGGAATGGGTAATAAAAAAATAACTCTATTATTCAATAAAACGATTATGACTTATGGTAGGAATAAACCAATAACACAAGAAATTAACGAAAAGCATAGGAAGACAGCTCTCAGAGTGTTATTACCAGCCTTAATGGCCAAGTTTTGGACGCAATTTTCTCATTGAATCCTCCTAACTTACCAAACGCAATGGTAATAATTCAAGAGTTAGAAAGTAACAACACGATGGCTCATTTCGCAAATAGTTTCTCAACTTCTCGGAGAAAGTATAACAAGCCAACCTCGGGTGGAAATGGACAAACATATTTAAACCACAAACCAAGACAACAAAACAATAATTTTAGCAGCCAGAGGAACATTAATAAATTAAGGTTTAACCAAGGCAACAATCAGGACCAAAATACTTATAGTAATTATAATTAAAATAAAAATAGTTCCTGGAATCCGGATAGGTTTAATCAACAAAATCAGTGGAACACTTATGGGCAGCCTCAAAATAAGCCAGGGCCAGATTGAAAATAAGGCCAATAATGGTTAGAATCAAGGCTATAAATAATAAAAAGATAGTAAAATAAATAAAAAGTTAAAATATAAATTGACAATTGGCAACCTCGTGGTATATTGAAAGAGGAATATATAAAAATAGAAATGAGCTTCCAATCTATAAAAGAGTATCCACACTGAATGGGTATTCAACAATTAAATAATAAATAAATAAATATGAAAACTATATTTGATACTCGATATACATTTTTTGAGATAGAAAGGTTAGATTCAGATTTACTAATTGGTGATAACCTTTCGAAAAAAATTCGAGCTGTGATTGATACAGCTAAAGGAGTAATAGAATGTAACGGAAAGGAAGAAAAATTTTAAAATCATGAAATAAAATAAAAGTTTGGGATTAACAAATCCTGAACACGACGTCGTTGAATTATCCGACAAATTGGGAATTAACAAGGGAGCACGCTATAGTCGAGTACCTCGACTATCAGTACCCGTTACTCAGCAAACAGTAGAGCGAGATTGACATGCGCCACTTACCCGCGATCTCAATATATGGTTATGTTGGTGGTAGACAGATTTAGGCGTTATGGGCGTTAGAGTGGGCGTGGCAAACTTTTTTTTGGGTCAATCAATAGGTATTGACGAGACTAATACATTTCAGTTAAAATTTCTTTCTAGCATGAAAATTGTGGGCGCCACAGGCTTATGCGGTTTGTGGGCGTTAGAGTAAGCGTGGCAAACTTTTTTTCGGATCAATCGATAGGTTTAGTACAAATACATTTCAGTTTATCTAGCATTACAATTTTGGGCGGTTTGTGGGCGTTAAAGTGCGTACAAGGCTACGGAATATAAATCTGAAATCCCAATTCTCTAACTTCTATAGTTTAGAGATATCCGCGTTCATATTAACGATTTTTTGAAGTTTGTGGGCGGTTTGTGGGCGTTAAAGTGGGCGAGCCAAACTTTTTTTGAGTTAATCGATAGGTATTGATGAGGACAATACATTTCAGTTAAAATTTTTATTCTAGCATCAAAACTGTAAGAGCCACAGTTTTGGTCGGTTCTTGGGCATTAGAGTGGGCGTGGAACATTGCTGAAACAAACTTGTGCTGCGTAAGAAGCTCAGGAATCTGCAAGCCAAATCTCAATACCCTAGCTCTTATAGTTTATGAGATCTCAGCGTTCATCCGGACGGACAGACAGACGGACAGACGGTCCGACGGACAGACAGACATGGCTAGATCGACTCGGCTAGTGATCCTGATCAAGAATATACATACCTTGTGGGGTCGGAAACGCTTCCTTCTGCCTGTTACATACTTTCGGACGAATCTAGTATACCCTTTTACTCTACGAGTAACGGGTATAAAAATCCTGAACCCGCAGTCGTTGACTTATCCGCCAACCAAAAAAAAACAATATATATATATCATCTGCACATCAAAGAAAAGATTTGGAGAATGAAATATTGAATATTATCAATGAGAAGCATTTAAAAATAAATATAATGTTCCTTTTTAGGACGGATATATGCGATTAAAAAATACCGTAAATTAAAGAGCCATTTACAGCAAACAGCAAACAGTATGATGATGCAGGAAGTCGCCTAGCTTGTTAAACGTGGGCACGGCTTGTGAGCCATCAACGTCCATCTTTCGCTTCCTTGTGGGCTGCCTTTTTCCTCCCCCTATGAAAGTACACGTAAAACCATTAAATATTAGAAAATCAAACGCGAATAGAGCAATTTACGTAGGAATATTATTCCTAGGGTACCTAATCATTTAGCGCGGCCTTCAGCTCCGCTTCAACTGCAAAGTAGCTGATGGTGGTGGAGTCCAGTGACTCTTCATTGAAGATCTCGTCTGAGATCACACTACTGGTGGTTCTGCTATAATTGAAGTGATTAGTACAACGTAACCAAATTCTTTTATTAACCAAATTCTTAGGCTTTTCGTCGGTTCTGTTGTTCAGCGCGGTACTCAGATGAACTAATGAAATACCAGAAATATACCAGATTTAGCGAGTTAATTTCGATGAACGCCGTTAGCCGGGGCCCAAAGAATAAGAAATTTAATCTTTGGCAGTGTTTGTGCAGTGTGGAAACGAAAAATTAAAAATGGAAAAAGGACGAGTAATCCAATATGTTGCCCATTATTGTGGGACTTCACCGACAGAAAGCATTACCACAACAGGGAAAAAAAGAGATCCTTGTTTTACGTTTAAAAATGCGTTTTTAAGTTTAAGTCAGATAAGTGATACTATAATTAATTAATTACAATCAATTAAATTATGTAAATTAATTCTTAAAAGTTTTTTTTTTGTTTCGTTCTTTGACGCAGCGCTGTCTGTGAAACAAATATAATTTAAAACTACAATATAGTAAAAACCTGTATTTATTTTTAGTATGAACGACCGTGACAAATGTTTTTGCAAGTCGCTCCAAAAATTGCAAAATAAATAAGCTAAAAAAACCATAAAAAATAAATAAATACTATAACATACATTTTTTATCGATGACTTTTAGTTTTGCCACACATGAAAACACCATGGACTTGTCCAGAGGTAACATCCCGTATTACAAATACGTATAAGGCACGTAAGAAACGAAGTCTGACTTCAAAAAATTTTCATATGAGATGTCCGATACAAACGTCTATATGGAGTGTCACGCGTGGAACGACAACAAATTGGAAAGCATTTTCTGCAAAAGAGCCAATGCCACGATGTGTGTGGATGATGATAGGTGCTTGAAAATTATATTAAAGATATTATTAAAATATGCCTTTTATATTAAACAGAAAACAACGACGAGTACTTCAAAGAGAGCTTCCGTAAGAGAAGAAGGCCTTTTCGTTTTTGGTGGACCGACTGCCTTCTTCGAAGACCTCAACCATCTTTTAAACGCATTGTATTTCAAATTTACTACAGATACAGATTTTCCTATTTAAACATCGGCTCTGCAGGGCTCTGCAACGACTTCACTATTTATCAAAAGCCCAGTCTGGCAAGGAAAATGGTGTCTTCTCCGTTCCTTTAGGGAAAAACAGAGGAAAATTGAGGTGCAAATTTGGAACTCTGCCATCGATTTTCCCAAACGCTGACCATTTTCCACAACTGCGTCTGAAGCACAGTGAAATTTCAACTACAGTCTGTCCAAAGTTAGGCGAGTAGTAGAAAGTGCTTTTGAAAAACCGTGTCCCCACATTTTGTCTTACCTCACAGAGGTTGTTCCAATGTGCAAGTTATATAACAACTTTGAGCCAAGAGCCAATCTCCAAATAACTCTGACTGACTCCGAGATAAATCCGTGGTCAGCTATTTCTCTTAACTACGCGAGTGTATGTAAAGAGCAGTGAATAAAATAAAAGTTTTTAATAGTGAGTAAGTGAATTTCAAAAATAAATATAAATTGTTTTAACAAATTCACTGGAGAGAAAGTTAATTGGCGCACAACGTGGGGCCGCATTACTAAAATTCTAAAACGAGGCTTTAAAACTAAAAAAATTTTAAAGTGGAAAAAGAATTAGTGCGGCCAAAAACCCAATACAACCGACAAAAACGAAAAAGTTGGTGTTGATGAAAAATAAAGTTGAAAATAATATATAATAATCCCCATAAAACTCAGACAACCGACGAAATTAAAAAGTTTTTGTTGATAAAAAAAGTTAAGGTGGAAAATAATTAATGGAATAATCCCCTTAAATCTCCAAATTACAAATAGTGATCGTAACGAAAAATGCACTGCTCTCTAATTAAAAAAAATAAACAACTTATCTAATTATCAAAAAAAAAACAAACAAGGGAGAACGCTATAGTCGAGTACCTCAACTATCAGATACTCGTTACTCAGCAACCAGATCTCAATATATGGTTATGTGGGCAGTAGACAGATTTAGGCGTTATGGCCGTTAGAGTGGGTGTGGCAAACTTTTTTGGGGTCAATCGATAGGTATTGACGATACTAATACATTTCAGTTAACATTTCTTTCTAGCATGAAAATTGTGGGCGCCACAGGCTTATGCGGTTTGTAGGCGTTAGAGTGGGCGTGGCAAACTTGGATCAATCGATAGGTACTAACAAGACAAATACATTTCAGTTAAAACTTTTTATCAAGCATTACAATTGTGGGCACCACAGATTTGGGTGGTTTGTGGACGTTAAAGTGGGCATGGCATCTTTATGTAACAAACATGCGCTGCGTACAAGGCTAAGGAATATAAACCTGAAATCCGCGTTAATTTTTTGAAGTTTGTGAGCGGTTTTTGGGCGTTAGAGTGGGCATGGCAAATTCGAGCATTAAAACTGTAGGAGCGACAGTTTTGGGCGGCTTGTGGGCGTTAGAGTGGGATTGGAATATTTCTGAAACAAAACTGCGCTGCGTAAGAAGCTCAGGAATCGGCAAGCCAAATCTCAATAGCCTAGCTCTTATAGTTTACGAGATCTCAGCGTTCATCCGGACGGATAGATCGATTTGGCTAGTGATCCTGATCAAGAATATATATACTTTACGGCTCAGCTATTGTCGATAAGGCAGTTTGTCGGAAAAGCAGTGCAAGCTAAGCTACAACTTAAACTTAAAGATTAAATCCGAAAGATACAATACAAACACAAGCGACAAATACAACTAACTTTTATCAAATCAAACAATTAATACAGATAAAAAAGTCATGGGTTCTTCTGCTCCACCCACTAAACGTACTCGCAACAATGCAGGAACTGGCAACGAACGCATCTCAGATGTAAATTCGCCACAGCTTCTGGAGCTCCTAAAGACTCGCTTCGAGGAAATAACCGAGAAAATCTAGCCGGCCGTTCGAGAAGCTGAACAGCGAATGCTCAGCCGCCTTATGGATCGCTTGGACATAATCGCCGCGAAAGTAAAGCAAATGGATGCTCGTGTCCTGACGTTGTAGCGCGAGGTTGCCGATCTTCGCTCCATGAGGGACCGAATGGGTGAGCGGGCTGAGACGCTGAAACGGGAGGTGGAAAATCTACAAGCAGCAGGTGAGAGGTTGGGTGCACTGGAGGTCAGGCTGGCAACGCAATGGGAGACTAGCTCGTGTGATCTGATGGTTCATGGAGTTCCCTATGTCGAAGGTGAAGATCTCAGAGCGCTCTATCACAAGCTATGCTTTAATCTCCAGCTGACTCCACCACCAAAAGTCTGCGATATCTTCCGAGCAAGGAAATCACAACAAACACATGAAGATCCAGTAATAATAATTAAAATGCTAAGCCCACGCGAAAAGATCAAGCTGCTTGGTCAAGTCGGAATGTACAGGCGCGAGCACAAAAAAACAACTTAGCTTGCAGTTTCTGGGTTTCAATTCAGAAGCATTAATTTATATTAATGAGCAATTGTTAAAAGAGCATTATTTCATCTTTAAAGAGGCTATGCGTATGAAAAATCATAAAGTCCTTACGGCTGTCTTTACACGATGCGCCCTTGTGCACGTACGCTGCACTCGAAGAGAGGGTGTATTTTGCATTAACAGTGTGGAGGAACTTTCGTCCATTAATCATTCGCCTTATCCACTTTCTACATCTCTCACTAACGCTTCGGCTGGACCTGAAGCTGATAGCTTTCGTTCTTAAGCGTATAAATCGTATCCTCTTAATTAAAATAGGTTTAAAACTAGTTTACTTTAAGAAATGTATAAGTTACGCCTGGAATATTGAGATTGCGCCCCTAATAATCATTGATAACAACAATGCAGGATGAGGAAGTTTGTTCCATAGCTAGTGCCATGATAAAAACTATAAGTATTTATAAGTTTGCTAAAGCAGATTGATGAGTTTAGATTTCTTTTCACTCAGTCTAATGTCTATGTGATATGTGTGTCTGAGACGTGGTTTGTACATGATCTATGTGATTCGTCTATTGTTTGTGAAGGCTTTAATGTTTATCGGTCCGATCATACTGGTCATGCAGGAGGTGTTGCTATATATGTAAATGTGAAGCTGAAATGTAAAGTGGTACTTAAACAGCCAAGTGACAGTACTATTGAATACATTCTATTAGAACTTCCCTCTAAATCCCATGGAAGAACCCTTCTAGGTTGCATATATAGACCGAATCGGACAATTGACTACGGGTCATTACTTAATGTTGTTTCAGACATTTCGTTGGACTACACCGACATCAGAAAGCCATCTCGTGGATAACTTTAAATCCCTAGGTTTGTTTTCCGTAAACGAAACGATTCCCACGCACTATAGCAGCCACTGTGATACATTACTTGACTTATTTCTTATTAATGACCCTAGCAAAATCATACATTATGACCAGGTTTCTGTACCAGCCTTCTCCAGACATGACTTAATATTTTTAACATACGACTTGACCTTCAACAGCAAAATCAATTCTTTTACGTATAGAGATTACAAAAATATAAACTATAATGAATTCAAAACTGAATTTTTGTGTTGTGACTGGTCATGTACTTACCATCTTCGTCATGTAGATTGTCAATTAGAGATTTTAAACAACAATGTCCAGTATTTGTTCAACAAGTTTGTGCCCCTAAGGACCAAGGTGATTAAGCCAATGCAAAATCCGTGGTTCAGTAGTGAAATTATAAACCTAACCCGTCAGCGATATGGAGCTTACCTCCTTATTTCGCAAACAATACAAAGAGGCTAGGGTATCAGTAAACAAAAAGATACAATCTGCAAAGATAGAGCATTATAATATACAATTTAATAATTTAAGTATTGGAAAATGTAAGCAACAGACAGAGTCTGTCTGGATGTCGAATTAAAAAACAAAAAGTATTTTAAAAAAGTATGTACCTGAAGCAACATGCAATCCCTACCTGAATACTACACCCCTCTGTGATACTAGCTTTAGCTTTATATGTATATACCAAAGTGGTGTCCTAGCTAGTATTCTGCACGTCAAGTCCGATGCTGTAGGTCTCGATAATTTCAGTCCAAAATTTGTTAGGCTTTTGCTACCCTTAATGTTGCCTCATGTTACATATAATTTTAACACGGCTATTACAACGTCTTCATTTCCGACAATATGGAAAAACGCCAAAATTTTCCCAATTCCTAAGCTAAACAATGACTATAGACCTATTTCAATATTACCTTTTCTATCAAAAGTCTTTGAAAACCTTGTGTCCTCACAGATTCAACTATACTTAGCTAATAATTCTCTACTTGATGAAAAACAATCTGGATTCCGTAAGAAAAGGAGTTGTATTACTCCAATCACTAATATTTTTAAGGATATAAGACAAAAACTGGACTGTAACTGCGTAACGTTTTTGACACTCCTTGACCACAATAAGGCTTTTGATTCTGTGAATTCTCTGTACCAAGCTTAGGAATATGTTTATTTTCTCTTCTAATGCGACGAAGCTTATTAGTTCGTATTTAACGAATAGGTATCAAGCAGTCGTCTCTGGGACGCAAGTTTCTTCTCTCCGGAACTTATGCAGGGGAGTGCCACAGGGATCTGTGCTAGGCCGTTTATTGTTTTCTATGTGTCAATGATCTCCTGTCTGAGTGTGAAGTACATTATGATGTCCAAATATATGTAATTAGACCCGTAACTGAAATACATGCCTGTGTCCGTATAAGTAATAAAATGTTATTACTAATTGAAAAATGGGCAAAGGAAAATGGCTTGGGTATAAATCCTAAGAATTCGAAGTGCTTGGTAATTGGTAAAAAGCTACTTTCAACACTTTCACTCCAAAAATTATATATAAGCCATACGCCGATAAGCTATGAAGTGAATGCAGTTTATCTGGGGATAACATTTAACAATACTTTATCATGGAGCAACCATATAGTCAAAGCGACAGGGCGTATATATGCTCTGTTGAGAAAATTTTCATTCTCTAAATCGGTCCTAACTGAGGAAGTTAGACTACTAATCGGCAAAGTTATCCTCATGCCCACTCTCCTTTACGGCATAGAAATTTTTGGAAATTGTGATGCGCTGGATATGCGCACATTAACTGTAGCTTTTAATTTAATTGTCCGTTATGTGTTTAACTTAAGACTTTTTGAACATGTCTCAGATCTGACATATAATATACTTGAGCTTAATTTGACCTCCTGGATCGAACTTAGAACTTTAATATTCTTTCACACAATAGTGACGGGTGGAGAACCAAAATATATATATATATATATATAAAATACATATGCCATCGAATACAAACACTGTGTTCGAGAAGGCAATTTTTCATAAATGGTATCCGGTTATGAAACAATCTACCGCACCAATACAAAACAATTAGGAGCGCAACTCAATTTTACAAAATAATTAAAGATCTTTTAAAATACCAGTACTCATAAGTATAAAAATTAAATAAAATGAAATAAAATAAAAAATAAAAAATATATATATTAAAAACAACAATAATAGTAACTAAGAAACAACGAAAATTTGATGTTAGACATTAATATT